AATATATGAATTTGGTTGGGGCAAACTTTTGTTTCGGTAACATTTACATAATATGGTTTTCAGTTTAAGCAACACAACAAAATAAAAGCTAAAAAATAAGCCCCGGGCCTTATATTTTTCAATGGCCCTTTTTGAGGGGCTTATTTTTGGAGGGGTTTACATTCGGAGGGGCTTATCTCCGGAGGGAAATTTGCGTTTTAGAATCGATTGGGCTAGCCTTATAGTTGGAAGGTTGGAAGTTATTTTACCGTTTTACTTTGTCTTGGGGGCAATTTTCCAAGTCCAACCCCCGGCGCGGGGGGCTTATATTTGGAGGGGCGATTTAACGGAGGGGTTTTTGCGTTACCGGTTTGAGGAGCTTATATTTGGAGGAGCTTATACACGGAGGGGCTTATTTTCGGAATTTTACGGTAACTGGCTGAGTGCTGAAGGTATGTCTCGCTATTAAAAAAAATATATTTCTCCTAGGTACATGCTTTTTCACTCCTTTAATAGGTGGATGGTTAGCTGACACCCTACTTGGACGCTATAATACCATATATGGCTGCTCGCTGCTTTATATTGTCGGCACCATTCTCCTCACGGCTACAACTTACAGCTACCCACCGACCTATGCTCTGAGCATGTCAAGTAAAGAAGGATTTTTAGGCGTGTCACTCATCCTTATTGCCATAGGAACAGGGGGAATCAAGGCCAACGTTTCTCCAATGGGCGCAGATCAAGTTAAGGAGCAAGGAGAACAAATGGTGCAGAAATTCTTTGACTGGTTTTACTGGTTTATCCAGATTGGTGCGTTACTTGCTTACACCATTGTTGTATACGTTCAACAAGAAGTGTCATTTTTCTACGGTTATCTAATAGCAGTGGTTTCAATGACTTTAGCAACCATTCTGCTGCTTTTTGGAAGAAACAGCTACAAACTTCGGCCACCAGAGGGGAGTTACGTAACAGACACCTTGCGTATAATAGGCAAAGCCCTGCAGGAAAAATTACGCTGCAAAAAGTCTTTGCTTTCGGTGAATCACTGGCTTGATACGGCAAAGATAACAAAAGGAGGAAGTTTTCCCGAGGAGAAGGTTGAAGGTGTGAAATCTGTGGTCCAACTGATGCCAATTTTTTTAACTTTTATATTCTACTGGACAATATATGGGCAGGTAGGAGCAATTAATTTTTATCTTTTCTTGAGTATTGGGCAAGAACGGGGGTAGGGATGAAATAACGGCTCCTTGACAACTGGACAAACAAACGATTTGAATTATTCGAAATTATTTTAGTATAGAAGCATCTGATTGCAGGCCGTATAAGTAGAAAAGAGAAAGATCCTCTTAAGGATCTTTAAATGCCCTAATGGTAGCCAAGTAAAGAAGGCCATGACTTTTTTCGTTATTTGAATTGCGTTTCCCTGATTCTTCTATTTTCTTTTTCTTCAGGGCCTAACCACCTATGTCCTTCAAGCTTCTTACATGAACTTAAAAGTCACAAACAGTTTTTCATTTCCTGCCGCATCACTCAGCATTTTTGACGGCGTTTCGTTGCTTGTTCTTATTCCATTTATCGACCGAGTGGTTTACCCAAGTCTGCACCGTCTTGGTTTTAATTTTACCCCACTGCGCAGAATCGGCGTTGGTATGCTGTTTGCCGCGGGCTCAGTTGTTATGGCGGGAGTTATTGAAATTGAAAGGAAACACATCATAAGAACACATGGGACATTTGAGCAGGACGTGTTTAATAAAACCGTGAACGCATCCACTATGAGTGTGCTTTATCAAGTGCCTCAGTACATTCTGGAAGGGACAAGCGAGGCTCTGGTTGTAGTTACAGGTAAACGTTAGATAATTACTGCCAACAGCTTTGTTACAAACCTGATATCAGCTCAAATCAATTATGATTGTTCCTGATGGATAAAACCCACAACAATATCTAAAAGGTTCATCTTCTCTTTATTGCTCCACCGTAGCGTCCGAGCTTTTACCCTTCACCTTTTCCTGAAAAACTGGAGGTTGATAGGCTGATCCAGGCAAACAGCTCTCTAAAGGCGCTTTTAAGCCCCTGAAAGAAGAGTCATACGATTTTTTTCAGTACAAATTGAAAATCCAATGGAAATAGCAGAAGGGCTGCCAAAGCCTAGCTATAAAACACCAACGCAGTCTGAAAGTGTCGTAGAATGAATGAAAGCTGGATTAAACTTGAAAACACCAGGTAGTTCTACCCCTGGTAATAAAATTATGGTTGACATATTTTTAACGTCAGCTTAGTGGTGAAATTTCTGATTCTCGGCCTATTTGCAAAAACCTAACCTCAGAAACCCGGGGGGCGGGTGGTACTTGTGTCAGGTTTTGCTGGATATGTGCCGCTCGCTGGCCGCATAGAATCCTTTGCCCATTATTCAAGTCTATTCCGGAGTAGAAATATGTGCAATGTTGTGAAGAGGTGTATGATTTCTTTTCCACGTAACCTCCTCTTACTTCAGATACAGGGGGAAATTAATATGTAACTGATG